AATAAACCTGTGGTGAGCAAGAACGGCCTTCGTCTCTTGAGCCGGCCAACCCCTCCCATTTCCATTGCTCTCTCCCGTCCCTCTCTTTTCCCCCTCCACTCCCAGTCCCCATCCACCAAGGCCTGAGAGAGATCCCCCACGAACCTCCAAGGACCACACACATACAGCCTGCTGGTGCCGCCCTATATCACCTGTCGGCTGTCTTAATTACATACCACCTTGCCTACTTGCCTACTTACGTCCTACATACATACATACCCAGCTCTCCTACTGTGGTATGACGACGTTGCTCCTACTCTGACTCTTTTCCCTCTCACCTCTCTCTCTTTCTTTCTCACTCACTCACCCCTTCTCTTCACCCCCTCCTCCCCAGCCGGCGCAGCTCTAGGCTCGGCCTCAGATTAAAGTACCTCTTTCACTACCATCCGTCGTGCGTCGCTCAGTCCCAGCGCTTCAAGACACGTTTGGTTCATCCTCTTTCCAGCGTCGCCTTTTCTGTTTGCGCAGGATCTTGGTGTATCGTCTTCTCTAGTGTCGGTAACGCTCACGCTATCACCTGCGCTACACAATCACCACTACACCGGCTTACTACCCCGCCATTCATCCCACCTGTTCAGATAACCTCACAAACAAACACTCACGGACGCCTATCCGTCACACCTCTCCTAAACCGAATAGCCGTTTGCGTTTCGCCAACAAAACATGGCTCACCGGTCCAACGACTTTGAGGAGCGTTTCTACGACGCCCCCCGCCGCCAGCGCGCCGAGAGCCGGGTTGCTTTCGACGAAGTTGATGTTCGTGTTAGGGAGCGCGAGCGTGAGCGAGAAGGTGACCGCCTCCGCTTCCTGCGCGATGAGCGTCCTCCCGAAGCCGGAGCCCTTGTTCTGAGCCGCAGAGAGGTTGAATCAAGAGAGCTGTCACGGCCTCGCGCCCGCAGCCCTAGCCCTGTTTACCGCGAGCGGGTTGTACGCAGAGCCCGCAGCTTGACACCTCCGCACGTTCATCATGAGCAAGAGCTCGAGCGCTCCCGAGTTCGCGTCACCGAGCGCGAGCGAGAGATTCGCAGTCCATCCCGCGGCCCTCCTCCGGAGATGATCCGCGCTCGATACGTTGAGAGGCAGCGCTCACCCTCTCCTCCTCCTCCCCCAGCCAGAGAACGCAGCCGCGTTGGCGTGCGCATCGTCGAGCGTGAGAGGGAAAGAGAGCGGGTTCCCTCCCCCTCGCCCTCACCGCCACCACCACCGCCTCAACCTCAGGTCATTCGTGGCCCCACGATCGAAAGAGAAGTCATTACGCACTACAGAGACATCGATCATGGTGAGTACAAGGACAAACTGCAGGAAATAAGACCCCCGCGAGGTCTAATGCATCCAGGTGTTACCCGCGTGCCCAGCCCGCCGCCTCCCCCTCGTCCCGCTCCTCGCCCCAAGACCCGCACCGAGGAGCGGGAGTTAGATATCGACATCACCACCTCCCGCAGAGGGACCGACATTGACATTCACCGCTCGCAAAGCCGCCACCGATCTCCTAGTAGGGAACGGAGATCCCCCGCTTTCCAGGACAGCAGAGAACTCGTCGTGAGTACCGACCGTCTCCGCATCGACGACCGTCATTACCACAGCGGGTCACGCCGTAGAGCTCACTCTGCGGCCGCACGCACACCCGTCGATGAGGAAGCCGAGTACATCACCTCCAAGATCGACTCACGCGGCAAGATGGGCGAGGCTTGGAACGGTGCCACCAAAGACTGGTCCATTGTCGATGTCCCGCCCGGTACCGAGCGTGTCCGTATGGATGGCGTTGGCGGTGGCTCTGCCGAGGTCACTTGGCAGCGTTACAACGGTGTGAGGCGGGCACAGTTCATTCCCGAACGGGACGGCGCTCCCATTTCGGCGCCGGCCCCACTTCCCGCCGAACCCTCACCACGAGAGTCCCGAGACCGCCTCAGCCTCCAGGTTTATGACCGTGAGACTGAGATCGAAATTGAGAAGACAAAGGACCGCGCCCCGCGCCGCGGACCTCCATCAAAGCGCAACGAGATGTGGACCGAGATCACAAAGGACCTGGTCATTCGTGATGCCATTATTCAGCTTGGATATGATTTCGAGGAGACTGAATACTTTTTCTACATTATGCAATACCTGAAATACGTAAGTTTTTTTGCCTCTGATGTTAATACGGTCAGATTACTCACCAAACACAGGATGATGTGCTTGAATTGGTGCAGGTATCTGACGATATCCGCCGCTTCCGCAAGCAGCGCGTCCGCGAATATGAGAGGGAGTGGGTGCATGATGACTGGGACCGCCGGTCTTCTCATCACCATCACCACCGCGGACCAAGCAGCAAGTACGACGATGAGCGAATCTACGAGCGTGAGGTCGTCTACGACAGTCAGCGTCCCCGACGTTATTAAGCATTGCATAAACACAGCGCAAGTGAGCCCAAGGAACATACAAATCGAATACCCAGCCGACATGCGGCAACTTTGAGGGGGGCCCGAGACAGGCACGCCTTACATTTGGATTCGGACTACAGAACATATCATTTTCGGGATGGGATGTGCTGCATTAGAGAAACCGGATCTGCCGGGCGGGCAAATGTGTGTCTTTTTACTTCACTTTTTCCCACTCAACATGTGGGGTTTCTGCCTAGCACCATGTGTAACGATTTATGAATACAACATAGCGGCGGAGAAATAGGGCGGAGTTTAGATTGTATTAGGAGCAAATAACGAACTTATGACTCGAATTCTCTTGACTTTGGCTGCTTCAGTGACTGAAACCTCGCGTTCGATGGTCTCTGGCGCTTCTTGTGGATGTATCTGACTGGCCCCGCGCAACCTCCCCGTCTGCAGGGCCCGGAGTAGACAAGACGAGCTTGATCAAGTTGAGGAGGGCCCGTTGTTGTTTCATCCGGTCAAAACGCCTGAAGCCGGTTTCTCATGTCTCCCGACTTTTGGAGATGGACTGTCGTCAAGGCCTCAGTCAACAACCATCCCTCTCATGGTCTGGATCTAAGGCAATCTGCTACTTCCATGTCCATACACGCAGTATATCGACATGTCTAAAGTCAAGCAGGCAGAAAGAGTGATCCAGTGTCAATTAAATGCCGACTTGACGGATATCCCGTGATAAATTCCACTAGACTAAGCAGCCGAGGCCTTTGTGACCATTCTCTTGTTCCCTATAAATACACCAGCAGTCAATGCAGCAGATCTCTGACCCTTCGAGGCACATTGGGCGTTCTCGATGTGTTCGTACAAAAGAATCACACAGACTCATGACGCAGAAGCCGGAAATGCCTCATCTAACCCCCCTCAACCTCTCCAGATTTACCTCGCCGCCTAGACCTGCGCCCTGTATCTCTGTAAGCCTCTTTCTGGGTATTCAGAAGTGAATAGAAGGCTTCGACAGGCGGATGATGAGATATTCGTAGGCGAACTTGGAACATTCTACGACGTAACTAAAGCTAACTGGGCTTTGGGCTTAGAGAACGGAGGAAGCATACGGCCGCTGTGGGAAAAGCTCAAGACCGTTTTTGATCTACTTGGGATATATTTGGCTTCCCGAATCGGTCCGAGGGCACGAAAGTCGCTCGAAAAACAAATCTGCTTGGTATTATACGTTACAGATAGCCGTAATCAATGAGATGGGACGGTCTACTAGGACAATCTTTGGTCTCCCAAGGTGTAAAGCGTAAAGTACTTGAAGCGACAGCGCTACCGTGTCGTCCAAAAGATTGAACGCAGACACCGAGGCTTTGCTATGTAGCTGATGGATATAGACTGCGAGAATCTAGAGATAAGCGCTCGAATAGAGGAGCCTAATGCCTTTGACCTTTCTCTAGGCGCAGCCCTTGAAACGTAGCGACGAACACGAGAAGTATCTCTTCGTCGGTCTCTTATTGTCTTTAGCTGAGTATTCACAGGCGAATGACTATAGTGAGAAGAGTAGGCGACAGGACTTGAGAGACCTGACTCTAGTAGATTGTGGAACGTATGTGTACCTTTTACTGACATCGTCACTTCTCAGTCGCACCAGATCCATCTCATGGATATCGACGTCGAGATGTGCCCGAATTATCCATGACAGCGCACCGTCTCTGTCTGCACGTCTCCTTAGAGATAGCAGGGAATCGGGTCTTTTTATATAGTAAGACGTAAACGTGTAGAATGCTACCCATGGTACATGCTCTGCAAAGGGCTTTGTTGACGCGAAGGTTGCCTCTCGTCCCTTCCTTCGAACGGCGAGAGTGCCCCCTTGACAGAGACTAAGGTATGTCAGATCCAGACCGATGATGTTTCTTCCACAAGAGGATATATAGACATGAGAAGGCGGTCCTCATTTATTGTTCCTTGCCCCCGCGACCATTCCAGGTCACCTCCTTGATTCAAATGTAAGACTGCCCTGAGCGTTCTTTAACAAGTGTGCCACGAGGTGCTCTGTGGCCTCATTCATTGTCATGCACTTGTGTCCGTTGAGTGTATCTGGAGAACTTGAAGGACCTGCTTCCCATTAAGAGAACTAGTTGAGCAGCAGGCACAGAACACCTTGGCACGAGAGACGATTGCATTATTACAGCATCTTTTTCATGAACGCTTACCTAGCCCCGATGGGCTACTCGCTGGATCGAGCGCGCGCTCTCCACGTCAACATGAAAATTCCCTTACAGTCCTTCGAAAACCTCGACAACTTTTGACGACACAAGACAAAGCAAATTAGAGTGATGTACAGCATCCTCGCCTTTGGGCGGGAGAGGTCCATATGAGTTTAGTCTCATCAGTAGGGTATGAACTCGTAAGAACAAACATTGAAACGACAGGCAACAAGTAAGACATCCGCTGGCGATCGGGTCCTCAGAAGCAGTTCGACATATGTATGTGAACAGATTCTCGCAATGTCACCTGACAGCATAGGTCAGATCGCCCTTTGCAGGGGCGAAATTCACCTAGCAAGGTCAGCTCCATGTCCCGACATCACGGGCATCTCCAAGACACTCACTTGCGAGAACGACTGGCCCGCGTCGACTTGGGCTTCTCCGCCTCAGCAGCAGGAGCAGCCTTCTTGCGACCCTTGGGTGCCGCCTTGGCCTTTTGAGGCGCGGGCTTCTCCTCTTCCTCGGATTCGGGGTTAGTCTCGGGCTCGGCAGCAGAAACCTCCTCCTCGCTCTCCTCCGCCTTCACCTTCTTGGCTGCTTTCTTGGGGGCAGCTTTTTTGACGGCACCACGCTTAGGCTTGGGAGCCTCTTCCGCCTCTTCGGCATCAGACTCTTCCTTCTTCACAGCAGCAGCCTTCTTGGCGGGACCACGCTTGAGCTTGGGAGCCGCTATCGGCTCCCCATCATCGGATTCCTCCTCCTTGATAGCGGACTTGCGAGCACCGCGCTTGGCCTTTGGCTTGGGCTTCTCTTCTTCCTCGTCCTCAGTCTCGGCCTTGGCGGCGGCCTTCTTGGTGCGCTTAGCCTTGGGCTTCTCCTCTTCCACCTCGTCAGCGGCCTTGCGACCGCGCTTCTTACCCTTAGCGGGGGCTTCATCCTCCTGTATTCAGGGGTCAGTATGTAAAGTCGCACATGCAAAGTGGTGAGACTAACATCTTCCTCCTCGCCGTCATCCCAGTCCTTGGGCTTCTTGCCGCGAATGCCGCGCTGGCCGAGCTTGTTCATCCAGGGGTCACCGTTGAAGTCCTCGGCGTCAATATGGCCCTGCTCTATAGCGCTGCGAATCTTGGCCTGAAGATCAGGGTGATCGCTAGACTTGCGTATCAGCGGCGTATTACAGTGGAGAGAGAGTGATTAGGAATGAATGCAGGCTGACCCCATCTCATCATAGCCGTCAAAGGCGTCAAAGTCGAACTTTCCGTTCCTCTCACAAAGCTCCCGGACGTGCTGCATCTGCTCTCCAGAAACACATCCCCTTGAATCGACCATGTTAGCAAATTGTGCTCTTTCCGCCTTGAGAGTTGTGTGGCGGGTGGGAGAGTGAATTATAACCAGGGAAGGGAAAAGGGGCCAACATACCAATGCTTCCACTTGAAGGACTCATGATCCATAATCTTGGTCCATGTGCCGAAGCGAAGGGAACCTTTCAAGCATTTGGCCGCGGCCTTCTTGCACACGCCATCGGTGCATCCGGCGCGGTTATTGGGCGAGACCTCTGCATTGGAAGAAAATTGAGTATTAGTATGCGTATATGTGCGGATTTGCGCGGGCTTGGAGTGACGTTTGAGATGGGAGTCTCGGTCGCCTATGACGTGAGGTCGAAATTTGGACGCGTCGCCGGGTGTCCGCCAGACGCGACCGTAGCTCCAGACAAGCTGCTAAATCGAATGTAAGGATCACAATAAATTGGAAACTTACCAATGCGGTAGTCAGGCATGTTGACGATAGGTTTGAAGAGCGATTGAATATGGAAAAGTGTACTCTCGAAGAAAGTGAAAAGAATGAACGGAGGTGTCTGGAAGAAGAAGAAATGAGAGGGAGGTGAGGTGGTTAATGCCAGATTTGGGAAGAAGCACCTCAAGCTGTCCGAGGAAGGGAAAGAACAGAGGAGTGACGTTGGTTGAGAGGTGGGCAGTGACAATTTCTCCCGTCTTCTGCCTGCCGGCCCCATTTTAGCTGCCCAAAGCTCCTGTGCTTCAGTGCGTCTGTTCACTTAAACCCCTGTGCGGGAACCTAATCGCAGCTAGGCAGCGGCCCTGAACTATTCCAGCTTGGAGAGCTTCGCATGACCCGAACACGTGGTGGCCGATAAGACGACGGCATGGAATGCAAACGAACTGTCCCATTTATGAAAAGAAACACCAACACATCAGATAGATAACCCCCTCAGTGAGAGAGTGAGAGAGAGGACAGAAATTGATTTTGAGACTACTCTCAAAACAATGTTAGAAAGAAAGTGGAATAAATAGGTACAGTAAACGCCACACATGCTATCATCTACATTCGTTGCACCACCGCCAACACCAATGTCCGCTCAAACCTCCACAATCATGCCTCTGAGCATCCATCGACGCCGATTCTAGCCCGTAACGATACCCTCTCATACACCTTTCCCCGAAGACCCAAACTCACAAGAATGGGCACCATCCGATATACATGGCCGCCAGGTTTCTCGGATCAGCAGCCTGCTTAATTAATTCCTCTACCTGGCCCTCCACCCCCAACGGGATCGTGTCCTGACCCATCAGCCCCTTAACTTTGCGCTTGATGCTGTCAACAACAAGCTGCGGCTGCATCCTAGGCGCCCCGTCCTGCCGACGGCTCGTCTTCTTCTCCTTTTGTAGATCCAGTGTGGGATCGTAAATAAACGCCTCAAGAATCGTCATCAGCGTCTCCTCCTGCTGCCGCAAAATCCCCAAGGTCAGCTCGCTGCAGTGCCGGAAGGGACCCTCGTATCCGTAGATACCCATCGCCGCCACCATGTTGTGCGTCAGGCGGAACGGCACCTTCTCTGGCTGCGCAAACGTCAAGCCCTTGTCGAAGAGGCAGTTGAAGTCCACGTGGAAAATGCCGCCATTGTCGCGCTCCAGCAAGACGTTCTCACCGTGTCGGTCGCCGAGTCCTAGGATTGTACCCACCATCGACATGACGGCGCAGGACCGGGTGTACTTGAGCCGCGCAGAGAACCAAGTCGAAGGGTGAGGGAAACGCTGGACGAACCAGTGCTGCAGCACGGGCGGGAACGTGCCCAAAACGCCTTCGGTGAACATCTTGATGTTGTTCGGTCCCGTCACCGCCTCAGCCATCATCCGCTTGATCTGATTGTAGTCGGGGTGTACCTGGCGGGATTTATACTGATCCAAGAGAATCTCGCGCAGTGTCTTCAACCCATCAACCCATTCGATGATACCGCACTCCTCGTTCAGAGGCACGACAGCATACGTTTTAATGTACAACTGGCGTCTGCTAGCCTCAGGATCTCGCTTCAGCGATCTGTTGATCATGCTGTTGAACTCCATCAGACGCTGGTCGGTGCGTAGATCATCCTTGGGTTTGATCATAAGCATGTAGCTCTTTCCGTCCGTTCCGCGTGCGGTCAGTCGGCGCGGCTTGGCCAAAGATCCCAAAACCAGTACCTCGTCCAGAAAGGAGTCGATGGTAATGACGTCTCGCGAGAACGCCTTGTGGGTTTTGACATTGTCAGTCAGTGTCGGCAAGGCAGCCGTCAGACACGACTCGATGGGCACCACCAAAGGGCAAGGGGTGCACTTGTGGTTGAAGTTTAGATCGCGCGTGATGCTCGCTACGGTCGTCCTGTTGCTTTGGAAATCGCCGTTGTTGCAAGCCAATAGGAGTTGCTCTGCGAGCTTCTCGCCCATCCTCAAGAGCTGCCTGAGTTCATAGTTGCTCCCGTCAACTTTCTTGGTGGTTCCCTTCAATGCCTGCAAGATCTGTTGACCCCTTACCCGACGTTCTGAGGTTTGTCTCGTTGTCATGATTCCAAATAGACTCCAAAGAGCTTGCCGAGGGTGGGATTGCACAACCTTGACGACTATTTGCGTCAAACGCTCATAGACATCTTTGTTTTGATGCGCGATTCTTGCGACGACTTGTGGAAGTGCCGTGTAGAATATGTATGCTGGTAATCGGGCTATGGACTTGTCGAGGAACCGGTGAAGGAGGTTCAACTGATCCGTTCGCCTCCTATGGAGCTCACGAGACAGTGAAACTTTGCCTTCGGGGGCCTTGTCAACTTGCGCTCCGAACTCAAGCCACAGTGTAAGAATTCTTGGCATGGTCTGGTAGAGATATTTGGTGCCGTAGTTTAAAGACCGAAGGTAATTTTCGACGACGAGTCTGGTGTATTCGCCCTGAATGCAGGGGTCGGTTTGATCGTCTGCCTTGAGAGTCTTCTCAGATTCCAGTACCTTCTTGTAGTAACGCCCCAGGTAGTAGTGGCCCTTTTCCCAGGTGCTAGCTGTGAGAGGGGGTTGTTGATATTTCTCACGCAGTGTCAGATGGTTGGTCTGACCGGCAGCATCTAGCCATTTGGCGAGCATCAGTTGAGCCCTGGCCGTCAATTGCCTTTGCTGAGCATCCATGCCACGAATAGAAGAGGAACTGTTGGTCTGCGTCATGAAGTTATTTGATTCAATGGCTCCTTGCAAAACTTGGATGGCCTTGCGTGTGTGGCCATCCTTCCACAGAAGCCGAGCATTCTCAATGACCGCAGCTCCGTCGCCAAGTTGGGAAGCATGTAGCACGGCATTGAACGACTGGTGGGTTGAATTGGCTTTCCTGGCCAACCGAGCGCTTGAAAGCCACAACGAAGATATGTCAAGATCGGAAAACTTGGGCCTTTGAAATGTTAGCTTAGGTTTGCTGCAAGACAAATACTGCACATGCCTTGAAAGCTCCATGGCTGCTCTGCGGATACCCAACAGGTACTGCTTATCGCCCACGTACGCCCCAAGAACCTCAAGGCGACGGTTAAGCGTCGTTAGAACCTCCTGGTGTGCATCGCCCTCCGAAGCTTGAGTTCCAGCAATGATCTCGAGGTCAGTAAGGACATGGCACCTAAGTCGTAGGTCGTGGCAAGCCTGCAAAGATGATGTTGCCACGTGTGTCATGGCGGAGGCGATCTTCACTCTCATACTCTGCAGCATTTCGGGGAATGTATCGCTGCCGGGCCCCCTTCTCTGTAGAGCGTTAAATAGCTTGGCGATGCCGACGTTGAAGTCTTCCAGAGGGCTGCCATGGAATCGAGCAGTATACTTGTTCAAAGTATCCCATCTCCTCGTAGCCCACGCTGCTTCAACTGCATACGGAACAATCTTGTTTTCTGTCGAAGGCTCTGTTCGCATGCCTTCGACATAATTGAGCAATACATCTGACTATGTTAGCACTTGTGCGCCACCCGTGGTTTGGTAACATGTTCTCTTACCGTGTTGGCCGGACTGCTTTAGACAATTGAGCAAATCAATTTGCACATCAATATTATCAGGCTCTTCTGCCAGCTTAATTTCGTACCAAGTTTGAGCTGCAGTATATCTGCCTGCCTTCTTGTGACTGAGAATCTGCTGATTGATATCCAAAACGTGCAGATGAGCGGAAATTCCTTCTAGCCCGTCAGGTTCGTCAATCTGGGTATAGATATCCTGCAGCTGCTCAAGTAGCAAAGTTTTCTGCCTTGGATCGCTGTTATCAACCTCCATTTGCTGGGCATGCTGCTCGAGGTGAAAGAGCGCGCGGGGGTACTCTCTACAGTCCATCGCACGTTGAGAGATGAGCACTGGCGGGATGGTGTTGAGCAATTCCTGAACACGTCCTATCGCGGGCAGATCATCGTCATTCTTGCGTCTTGCGTCCTTCTCTTGGAGCCATCTACTCGCGTAGTCGAGAGCTCTGAAGACCGCCTGGTTTTGGTTAGTGACACGACCAACATCTCACGAAATCCTACTCACCTCGCAGTACAGCTTCATATCTTCCCGTTCCGAATAGGGCGCGTCCTCGGCGGGCTGGTGCTGAAGAATGCCAACGAGCTCCCCAATGACGTTGTCTCGATCCTTTCGCGTGCTCCGGTGACCTACAATGACATGAAGCACGAGGTATGGCAGCAGAAACTCAGCAACAGCCAAGTCCTTGACCTTGATAGTGCGACACAATGGTTCGAAGATGAGATCCGCGTGCCCATTTTGCCCCTTGCCCAAGAGATCCATGCTGAATGAACGCATCCAGTTGCCGTAGGGCTTTCCCGGGCGGAAGATAGGATACTCAACTGGGACCACGTTCATAGGTGTCAAAAGATATCTGGAGGTAAGGAAAGGTGTCAAGACAGTGCGGTCACTCTCCGATAGTGTTAGCCATTTTCTGTAGATGACACCACCATCCCGCATTCCGGTTCCTTTCATAGCCAGTGCAGCCTTGATATCCACCCGGTCGAGCAGCTCTTGCATGGCAAAGGAAAGGAAACCTTGGAGTTTGGTGTCTGTAGTGGACAAGAAAGCTTTGACGAGGATCTGTCCCAAGATGAACAACACGAAGTCTGTCGTCTCGTCTGCACTCTCAAAGTTGCTCAAAATGACCATCGACTGTTGCTCTCGCGGTGCTTCCACTCTATTAGAGTCGAGGCAGCCCACCAGGCCAATGCATTGAGTGCAAAGACTGGCAATTTCAAGCTGGTGCATAGCACTATACTTTGCTGCACAGTCTAGCAAGGCTCGTATCAACATGGGTACGACCGGGTCAGGCTGTTGGCTGATGGCTGAAGTCTGGAGGAAGCCTCCACTCTGTCTGAGGTAGACCTCGAGTTCGGTCAGTGCCAGTAATACGACACCCGAGTTCTCGTGAGACGTGCGCTCGGCAAAGAGGGCAAACGCCGTCCTGCTGTCTAGGACTGGACGCGCTGCGTTGAGCTCCTTTTCGACATCTGCCAAC